GTATCTAGTTAGATAGGGTTTTTGTGAGTTACACTTACTTTAACTTATGTAGATTGTGCCTTCAAATTGAAAACCTATGTCAACTTCAGTTTCAGGGTTCTCCATAAGTTATGGTGCCATCATATGTTTGCCGTGATGCATTTTTCATGGTGGTATTTTGTTTTGCTTGGCATGTGAAGATTTGATAACAGTAATTGAAGAGATGATAATATCCTTGTACGTAGTTAGACAAAGCAATACACAGACTTTCATTACTTTGGGCTCAGTGAAATCAGGACATTGTTACTGTATGCTGGTGATAATGATGATCATGTGTCGATCTGTCTAATAAGGCGGGACAGGTGAAAACAGTCCAACAGCTAGCTTGCATGTTTGTGTTGCCCACAGAAGCTCTATGACCTAGTATGTATGAAGTCCCACATAAATTCATGTATGTTGTCTATGTCGATGTTCCCATGCCATTTGACATTTAAGCTACATGTAGCTGTGGAAACGTAAGAGTTTATTTTTGTGCATTCTGCTGTTACGTCTGAGTTATAAGGAAAGCATTCCCTTCATTTCAAGCTTCCGTTGGCTTCTTTTCAGTGAGGCAAATTTTGGTCAATGTTAAACTGTCCTGTTTCAGCAATGTTTGACACACTGACACTTGTTGTGGGAACTTGCAGCCGTCACCTGATATCTGTGTTACACTTACAGTCCAACGTCTACATACGGGGCATGCATGTTAACTCCTCTAACCAAGGCCGTCATTGTGGCTCATCACAAATGGCTACGAAGTGGTGCATTGAAAGACTTGACAGATTTGTGCCAAATTTATACAGCCAGGTAGTCCACATATAGATAGGAAATTGAAGGTAAATCAAGCAACCTTCCAAAGACTATGTGTGTAGAAGAAATGTTGTAAACCTTGACACAACATAATCTTATGATAAGGCCACACCAATTTAATTTGTTGGTTCTCGGATTTTTTCAGAAAAAATATGAAGCGACAGGGCGAAAAAAAAATAAAAATAAAAACAGGTCTAGGCATCCTATTATAGGCTTAAATGCTACAAAATGAGCCATGAAGTCAACACAAAAGGCTGGGTTAAAATTTAAACATTGAATTTTGAACTTTTAATCAAACCACTGCAATGATAGATGGGAAAACTGTAACAACTAGGAAGAAAAGGACTTTCCTCAACTGTTGGGGGGCAAAACATGAGCATTTTTCAGTTGATTCAGGACCAGAATCAAATTTTTTTTTTTTGCAAATCAGAAAAAAACGAAGAGGCGAATCCGAGAACCAACAAATTAAATTGGTGTGGCCTAATCTTATAACAGTGTAAATTAAGAGGCGAGCAGCTAGCTTGTTCATCAATGTTTGTAACACTGGACCTGAATCAGGAGAATTATGCAAGCTGCAGTTTGTCTACATAAAGGTTCCTTTTTGCTGCACTTTCAGTTCAGATACTCATTATTTTATGTTGTAGTCACTGTAGACGAGTACAACAGTGGAAGGCATGTATCCAAAGAAAACATAGTGAGGTTACAGGTTTTTGTAGATGGAAAATTATGTGGAAACTGCTGAAAGATTATGTTAAGTAATAATTGATTAACAACCTTTTTTGATATTTTGTGAAGATAATGCTGCTTGTGCTGTCAGCCACATCAGAGATTTTGCCGAAATTGATCCTAACATTTTTATATATTAATGTACATTTTGTATGAAAGCAATAGGTTTCATCGTAAACTTACTATATACATGTACTAGATGATTCACATGAGTCCCAAGACTGCATGTTTTTATTAATATATTTCAATAAGGGATTGTTTGTTGCAGTAGTGCTAAATTTTGACATACATTTGTATGTTTGTTTATATGAATCATAACAGGATTTGATCTGTGAGATTGATGATGAAAAACTCTTAAAATTATTTAATGTGACACTTAGAAGTACCAATTATGTTCAGCTCAGGCCATGCTGATTCAGCCATTTCTTTAGCATATATAATGCTGATATTGTCTGTGTGGAGTTTTTTTTTTTATTTAGAGGGAAAATTTGTTTTAATCTGTGACATTATGCAGAAATTGGCAAAAATTGGGCAATACATCCTTAAGTCTTTTTCATCATTAATTGAAATGGAGTGGTTCTAGTTCTTGCTTTATATCCCCGTTTTTCCTAGGACACTGAGGGACAATACCATTTTACTACACAGTACATTTTCTGACAGAATATCCTATTGAGTATCACATTTCAACAGGGTAATTTAAAATTATGTTTCACCCCACTTACCTGCAGACCATAAGCTGAGCATAGTTGGTACTCTCAGCTAACCGTGTGAAAAGTGCATGTGTTGAACATGATTTTACTGTACACAATATTTGACTTTGTCTTATGCAACTGTACCAGTTGTCAGAAATTAAAAGAAAATACATCACATGAAAAATTGTCATTTGTTACTTCTATTATTATCTTGTATGTGTTGTAACCTGGGATCTGACCTAATTTAGACCAACAAGTGTTAATGCTAACTCCTGTGGTATGAACCAATGTTGCATGATCGACTTGAGTATGTGTACATGTAGAAGACATTTTTGGAAGAAGTTGAATTGACCCCAGAAGGGCAGTTCAGAAGATATATCAATTGCTTGTAATGTTGACAAGGAGAAGTGTTTGGAAACACCAGTATAAAGTCTTGTAACCTTCCAATAGGGTCCCAGAGCATGCAACTGCATGGGGAACAAAGAGAGGCTTTCAATGGAAATATGATCTTTGCCGCAGACTTTTAGATAAATTCAAAACAGGGTCACAAATATTGCTGATCAGAAATTTATCCCTATTTGGCCAATTTCTACTCTTTCCAACCGCCTCCCTTAGCCAGGTAGAGGCTAAGTCTGTCAGGAAAAACATATTTTGTACTGTTCTTCCCAGGCACCTGTCCTTACATAAGCTCCTGTATTAAAGAGCAGGCAAATGAGGTCATACACTATTCTGGCAACATGCCAGGTTGTTGACCTGGCGAGTATAATGGTTGTATAACACTGCTGGTGCAGCTGAGGACATTCATTGAGTACATGGAGCATGGGACAAATATATCATCTCCCTGCCAAAGCTTTACATGAGAACCATGTAAGTTCTTGCAGTCCTGCATACTTTATAGTGCCAGTTTTGAGTCTGCCTTCAGCTGAGCACACCACCCATACAGTTGACTGGGATGCCTGTGAGTCTAATGGCAATGCTGAAGAAATTTCAAACCTTGAAACGTTTTCAAAGCATTTTCCATTGCAGCTGCCATGCAGGTACCAGTCAGAAGGTAACAGTCTTGCCCTTCAACCTCTGGTCTTCCCCTTCACCCTCTTCTGCTTGAGTACTAGTAAGGAAGTGGCCTTGGAAAGCCAAGAAGCAGGTACCTGGAGGCCCTGGCTTCCACTTCCAGGGTAGCTTGAACCTTACTCATACAGATAAGTTATCTAAGGGACGGGTCATTAATTGACCCATTAGCAGAAGTCCTACTGCCTTCCACACAGACTGATAATATATAAGCTTCCACTAAGGGGGAAACCTTAGACCTGATGGCCACAAACATCACTGGTAACTGGCATGAAAGGGGAGGCACCTCCATCATGCAGATAGCCTGGGTACCATCCTACTTGTATACCGGGGCTCCCACACTCGCTTCCCTACTTCTTAGGGAAGCGAGTGTGGGAGCCCCCGCATACAAGTAGGATGGTACCCAGGCTATCATGCAGACACTGTATCTACTCTTGGTTCCTTTTGATTTAGTCATTTCTACTTTTCTGTCAGATTCATATAGACCTGCCCTGCATTCGTTCTCTTCCCATTACATAATTCTTTCTTAGGTGTAAATTCATTCAGACATTCATCACCATTTTCACATCACTCACATCAAGACAGCACAGCCAAATATATACAAGATTGCACATCTTTTAATAGATGGTGCCTTTTACTCCCTGCTTGGAGTATTGCTTTGTACATGATACAAATAAATACAACATCTGTGAACTTAACTCGAACAAAAACTTAACTTTTCACATATCTCCAAAATGACTTCAAACTGTTTCTTTCTGCCAGTATGGCACATCACATGACATGAGCACATACGAACCAATATAACCACTATTTCCTGCAACGATTACTCCCAGAAAGGGCTGTGATTCAAAATTGTTGTATAAAAAATTGGGCGCGTTAATCACGGACCAGATTACTGGAACAATCAGGATCCGTCTAAATTTTAGCTCAACAACTTTGTTTTCATAGCAACATTTCATTTCACAACACATTAACTTCTAAGGCGCAAAGGGCTTTACAACCCTTTCTGCACATTTAGGAATGTGTAATCATAGCTATGAAAGCTTCACACTAACTCATAACTATCATACATGGCTGTGTGTGCCTAAAGGACACTTCCTTTTTCTTTCTTTTTTTATAGAAAAATATCATGAATTCTTGTTTAAGTGACTGTAAATATAGTACATCAACGTAACAATGCTCAGTGCATTTTTTTTCAGTTTGTTGGAAACCAGACCTTTTGGCACACACATCAGATATCTGAAATGTGACTATGTTTTAAGTATGTTGTCTGCACAACTTAAACTAATACATCTGAAACACTACATCCAACTCAGGCGCTTTACTACAGAACTGATAATATCTGCTTCCAACATTTCATTACTCCAATGTTTTATACTACATTTGGTGACTAAAACCACCAAAGAAGCCACCTAATATCAGCATGTAAGGGAATGATACATTAACATAGTGTATTTACAACTGGACATTTGTTGTCTGAGATTTTGTATCAAACATTGCCAAAATTGTCAAGAGGTATCAAAAGCTACTCAAAACTTTTTCGTCCAAACAATTTTTGGTGAGAAAAATATCGTAGCAACTAGTTTAACAATTCCTTGGAGGTATTCAAAGCAACCACAGCGTTAGCATGCTACCATTGTTTCAAAAAGTAAAAATGTTTCAAAAACTTTTGTGCCGTTGCCAATTACATTTGGAAAATATCTTCAGCGTTTTCTCTCAACAAATACTTCTTTAAACTTATGCAATGTCCATGGATGTAAACATCCACAATAGTCCTTTAGAAGTTTGTACAGGGGATCACAGACCCTGAGGCATAGACTGAGAGGGGGAAACAATCACTCCAAGAGGCATCAGTCCCTGATTTGCTGTTGCCATGGAGTTGAGCTTGTTAACTTCTATCTGCCAGTTGGGGACTTTCTTGGTGCTCATGTGGCGCCGAGCGTGCTTGGTCAGGTGGTCGCTCCTCATGAAGCGACGGTTGCACATCGGACACTCAAACTTCTTCTCCCCTGTGTGTGTTCTGCGGTGGCGTGACAGCTCGTCGGAACGGGCAAACCTCTTGTCACAGCCATCCCAAGTGCACTTGAAAGGTTTTTCACCTGAAGAACACAAAAGTCACAATAACTTTAGTCATCCAGTTGTTGTCAAAGTTTACTTGATAGCTCCCTTTAAGTGCTTAATCCCAAGACACTAAACACTGTGTCAACAATCCTATGGTAAACAGGTAACAACAATGCATCACTACTGAGCCAGGGGTACCATTCTTCTTATCACTGAACACTGATTAACTAAGCCAGAATGACAAGGGTTAACGACCGCTGTGGGACTGGGTCATCCTTTACACAACAGTGTCCCATGAGAAACAATCAAACATTCTCTTATCTTCCAAAACAATCACATCAAGCCTTCAACAAATATACAAACCTGTGTGTGTTCGGAGGTGTGCCTTGAGATGTGAGCTTTTGAAGTACGTCTTGCCGCAGCTGTCGTACGGGCACACGTGGTTTCTTCTCCTGGAGAAGTCCGGGAGGTTGTTGGACATGGTCTGTCCGTCCTGAATAGAGGTGGGTGCTGGCGCAAGTGGTGATAGCCTTGTCCCGCTGACAGTTGAAATGGGGACGGGCGACGGCGGCTTCTGTTGGTTTGAGTTCATGACAACCACTACTGCATTGGACGGGAACATCCCTGCCATTGCTGGTGGTGTGGGGGTGTGGGGAGGTGTAAGATGTTGACTGACACTCTGAGGGGCTGAGCTGACTGTTGCTGTAGTTGTGACCAAGGGGGCGATGTTCGGTTGCCTGCCTGAACTTGGGACGGGGAGCTTTTGGAGATGATGTGCCGGAGCTGGGTGTAATCATGGGCGTCGGTGTGGGCCCAGCAACCATCAGGCCATTGGGTCCCGAGACAAAGTTCTGTGGGTTGAAGACGATGGTGGGCAGAGGGGTCTGCACGTGTGCCGTCAGGGGCATGCCCGCGATGGTCTGCACCTGTCCCTGTGGCGTGACCACCTGGTAGGACCGGCTGGCCATCAGGGGGTACCCAGGGGACTGCATCTGCGGTGCTGCACTGACGCTGGGGATGGATGGAGCAGGCTGGGGGTGGGCCGCGAAAGTCATGGTGGGCGCCGCCGATGCACTTGTCACCATGGTATGGGCGGTGCTGACTGTTGACACGGCGACCATGCTGCACGTGGAGCTGACGGGCGTGGTGGTGAACATGACGGGGGACGACCTATGGGTGGCCTGAGGCGGGCCACCAGACGTCTGGGTGCTCGTGGACTTCATCTGATCTGGGCTGTCCTCAGGCAGGGGGTATGTGGTGGAGTCGTCACACCCTGAAGCAGCAGAAAACAAAACCTTCTTAAAAATGGTACACTCTCAAAAACGGGCAAAAGAAACTCAGTGATGATTTACCTAGTCTAGACTAAAATCTATAAAGAGTGTTACTTACCAAAGGTGTGTTGTCCCCAGTGATCAGTGTCGGAGACTGGGTCTGAGTTGGGCTGATCCGACCGCCGCTGTTCACAGCCTCTGGCACACTCACAACAGATCCTTCACTTGAACTTGCTGACAGGTTCTATCATAAAAACAAGATGAAGAGAAAAGCTTTAAACTTGACCATCAAACGAATGCAATTCTGGATATTATGTCTATTATGTCTACAATGAACACAATATCCTTGAAAAATTACAAACTACATGATAAAATCATATCAATATCAACTTGTGCACAACTTTTACCTTGCCTACAAATGTAGCTTTAGCCAGACACCATGCATACCAAAATTGTAAGATAAGAAAGAAAAAACTGCCAGCAATGACTTTTGCAAAGCAACTTAGCAAAGTAGACTAGTGTCCTACATACTTGTATTATAAAACATGCCTCGCCCCAAGGCAATAGAAAATGTGACCTGACTTACCCTCCTACGCTGAGGAGACCACTTGCTCATGGACAGAAGTGTCTGTACTGCATCGAAATCTCCTTTTTCCAGCGTACAGGGTGCACTGTCCAGACTACAGTCTGAGGTGCAATCAACATCCATTTCCAACTTCATGGTAGAGGTGCTTACCTCTTCTTCCTGCAGCAGAAAAGAATAAAAAGAATCATAAGTATAACATGTATACTCAAAGTACATTGTACTCGAACAGAAACAAACCTTATGTAACAGTCATAGATTCATACACAAAAATCTATTATTCCAAGTTCAAAGATATCACCACAAAGAAGTGACTTTGCCTAAGGACTTGAAGGAAATGGCTTTTCAAACGAATCAAAGGTAACTTAATTTCTCACCAACAGTTCACTTCTCATACTTTGTACAAGAAGTGGAAAGGGAAAAAGAAAAGACTCTTTGAAAAGTAATCAGTATTTTAAATGAAAAAGGAAAGTGGGTGTGGCTTGGCCAAGCAGTCTTGATTAAGAACCTTAAAAATGGAAAACAAAGAAAGAGAAGTCACCTTGCATATAGCACCATAACTGTGGTTATGAAGTTAGTAAAAAGAAAAAGAGGACTACAAAAAAAGCAAAAAGGAACAAAAAAGCATCAAAAGGGAAATCCCTCACAACCTTCCATCATCCACTGGAGTGCAGTGGTTACTGCGCGATTTCATCATCCAGCATTTGTATACACAGACAGGGCTATTTGAGCTCCCTTGTTCACGTGCTTGGCACATGATCACCCAATACCAGTAGTGGCCACAATGAGGACGTCTGGCCCCCTTCCTTCTGAAAAATGGACTGTTCCAGAAAACACCTACACCTACAGTATGCCTTTTTTTACTTGATTTAGCCGCACACAACCACAAACACAACCACAAACATCAAGAAAGACTTTGGACACATATTGCTCAACTCATTAAATTATAACGAAGTAGAAAATCTTATAGTGATTGCTATTGTTTCACTGATCTGGTCACTTTGAAATATAGGGGCAATATCGTGGATAATCATCATAATGATATTTGGAAAGATCTATTGCAAATGCTGTTTTCACGTGAAGCACAATATTTGCTAACAACAGTTAAACCTACCAAAAGAATCTTCATTTAAGTCCCCCAATACCAAAGAAATCTAAAACTATTTTCACCAAAATGTGCAATGGTTGTTTGAATACAATGAATAAACCAAGCTTCAACTGTCTTACGCAATATACCCTGCCCCTCCCTGTCTAGCCCAGCAGTTGGCACAACCCAGCCAGTGATCATGTGAAGGCTGCATGATCAGTGCATGGCATGTGCATGAACAGCGCCACTCCCACAACCAGCCCACATGACACATGCATTGTCAACACAGGCACATGTCTGCACTTTGCCCTTATGCAACTCCACATAACTGCCTAACTTTTAATACTCTGTAGTTTGTACCAAGATGATAAAAGGTTCTGTTGCAGATAAATCTCATTTAAAAAGAAATATCACTTCTTTCAACCCCCTAGAACTGCCCCCTTGCTTGAAACATGGGATTTGGCTCCAAAGACAGTCAAGATGATGCAATGCCACATCCATTTATATTCTCAGACAAATAGAAATGGCTCAACAGAAATTTCAAAGATGCCAACCC